TTTTTGCGCTGTAACAAAGATTTTTGCGCGATTGTGGAATATTTGACTGGTTAACTATGGAGCTTGCGTCTGGTGTACGTTAAAATGAAACAGTAACTTAGACTGAAGAAGGATTGTATGTTTATTTGAGAAATAATTGACTGTTGATGAATTTTGTTGTTTTGGGTTTTGAGATGATGAGTAGGTTCTACGAATTAACTGATTAACTTAGGATCACTGTGAAATGTGTTTTACGATAGAATCTTTCCATATCTTACGATTAGAATTGTACTGGACTGATGTGTCACCTGAATGAAGCTTTTTTAAGAGTGAATTGTGATTAGTTCTTTCTAGCTATCGCCAAATCCGCGTTTCACACCATCGCGCGAATAATTTATAGTTCTAACAATAACGTTACAAAATGTATAGCGGCGGACGATGCATACATTACCAATTTACAGCATCCTCGAGTGCTAAATCCGATTATGCCAGAACGCTTGATAAACTTTCATGAGGTTTCTATTCTATTTGAAGCCCGGCGGTAACCAGGTTTCAGTTTGATTCCAGTTTCTGAAAATTAGTACGTCAAACTGTACACCGGTGTAACCGTCAGCATTGTAGTCATTGCATTACTTAGTAATTGTGTCCGGCGTGGTCACGAGTCCCAGTTGAACGAGCGTCGACGCGATCAATCTACTTTATCCTCCATTTTCATGTGAACTGCCCTTCGATTTAAACAGCAAACTTTCTGCTCAAACGAAGACAAACACGAATCACCATACAAAAGCGAAATAATACCGAAGCAATTACAGATAGGTGAAAATTTTACAATATACATCCAATGTGCGATCGTGCAGACTGTACGCGTCGTAATGTTACATTTGAATCACCCCGTATGCAGTGGGAAGCTATTTTTCCGCGTATTTTCCGCATGGTTGCGCCGAACGTTCAACGCGCAAATCGGCCCAACTTCGTTTCGGCATTATAAATCTGGAATATTCGAATCCCCGAAAGAATTTCGCGAATGCTTTTCGCCCTATAAAGCACGGAAATTACTTCGTTTATCGATGAACCTCGAACCGGCTCCACGGCCAGCGACCGTCCTCCTCTTTTACGAATTCCGCGCGACACACGCCGAGGAACTTAAAAAAATACCGTCGCGCGACCCTCGAATCCTTTTACAAAAGCTGTTGGCCGCTCTTTGTTTCCGCGTTACTTGTGTTACCGGCTTTGCGCTGCTGTTTTTCAAAGACCGTCCGGTCCGCGGAGTCCTTCCGGAACCTTTGCGACAGTATATCAGAGGAAAATGTTGCAGTTGCGCGCTGCAATTATTTTCTGCCTTGCCGCGCGACAGGAAGAGTTGCAATTTCTACAGAATTAACGAATTTATCGGAATATTCGACGTTTCGCCTGAGTTTGCGGGTGGATGTTGGATCTTTGTGTTTTATGGGAGTCTCCATTAGTCGTCTAATAACTGACGTGGATCGGTTGTTAATTAATATTGATGATAAACCGCTGATCTTAACGGAAATTTAGGTTTCCTTAGATATTTCTTTCATTCGTGGATATAATGTAAAAGTTTATAAGTGAAGGAGAATGTATATTGCACGCTGCTTCTGAAAGGATAGTTTTTCATTGTAGCTGATGTATTTAATGTTCCACGGTATTTCTAACAGTATGCCAGTAGAAGCTGTCGCAGGACAGTAAAATAAATTAGCGTCTAATGCATGGATGGATAATCAACCTTCTCAACGGCTAGAAATGACGCAGGGTCCTCGTTTCACTCGATTTTCAGACGTTCCACAGCTGAAAGACAGAACCGAGGAACGATTACTTACGAATTTGCATGACGTTTGTATAAAGTAACGGGATGGAAATGGTATTTCCCGGCGCACAAAGGTCGGGAAAGCAGCTTCGAGGCTCGAGTCGGTTTTTATCAGGCAGTGTGCAAGAACCCGATAATGTCGGTGCAGGCGGGTCGGGAATTTTTCTCGGAATTGGGTTGGGATCTCGAAAATATATCGCGACATCGGTCGTATTAAACGAAACGTATTTCGAAATATCACTCGAGCACTTGATATTTCAAAAATTTTCAATTCGGTCAATCTCAACATGCCTAGATCAACAAGCTCAAACATGTCTCAACCTAATTCAAACTTGCTCGAACACGATTCGTTCGACTCAAACACGACACCCTCTCAATTTCGATGATTCGAACACCCTCTGTTTCAATTCGAACTCAACCGAAACTTGAGACGAGACGATCTAATTCGATCGCAAACAAACTCGACCATTGTTCAATCCAATCCCGATCGAGCCGAACTATAATCTAACCGAAATCAATCTAATTCTATCCGAACTTAGACCTGACTCGAGCCATTTCTATCTTAGGCAGTTAGCTTTAACCGTTCCCCCACTGCAGCTATCAACTGCGAAACGATTAACGGCAAAACCGAGCGAGTTCACGGTCAGAGCGTAACAAGATTGCGCGGCGTGGCGTAAAATCGCGCCGAAGCCCGACACCGCCGTGAAATTTCGACGAGCGGCGGGCCGCGTCGACCGATCGGAAGCGATTCGAATGCGATTTGAATTTTGAGTACACTCGCGGATCTGCATATGCAAACAGACCGACCAGATACGATCGTTCCCCGCGTTGCACGCTCGCGATCCCCGCCACCCACGCACCGTGTCCCCGTCGATCAGGCCCTCGTACGTCAAACTCTTTATTATCGAACCGCGGTTACAATTTTCGGAAAACCGACGCGTCGCCGCGCGCGCTGCGAACAGCTATTTTTACTTTCCCCAGACTTCGTCGGGCGTACGCTTTCTCGTTCGCTTTTCGAGACCGATTGCACCGGGAAATGGCCGAGTTGTGTATCGGCGTATTGTGACGAAAAAACCATCCGTCACTGCAATCTCGAAACTTGTTATTATTCTAATCTGGAAATTCTGCATCATTATAAATTCTTTTGTAAGGCAGGATTCTATGGACTGAACCATAAAATAGTGAAAACTCGTAGTAGTAATTTTTTACTGCAATGTTACCTCGAAACCTATAGAAACAATGCCCTGAGAAGAACACTGTTTAGCTGGAGGATCCCTTTTTGTTAGTGTAGCTCTCTGTTTATTGCACCCCTTTCCCTTAAGAAGACACCGCTTGACGAAACGCAGACGATCAACGTTTTACTTCCCCTTCAAGATTACCTTCCACTTTATTATTAGAAAATTTAGAACGATCAGCTTCTTAGACCTCTCTCACACTGTCAGGAGAGATGTATATATTATATAATTCAGAAACTTTTCATCAAAGTGCAAAAATTCCTCCAACAAAAGTGACAATGCAGCACACAGACGTCTAGTTTTCAAAGCATCATCATTGTACGTCGTAAACTCCAGATATAACAAATAATCCCAATGTACGACGACAACATTACGAAGACACCGTCTGACGAAACGCAGACGATCAACGTTTTATTTCCCCTTCAAGATTACCTTCCAGTTTATTATTAGAAAATTTAGAACGATCAGCTTCTTAAACCTCTCTCACACTGTCAGAAGATATGTATATATTATTATAATTCAGAAACTTTTCATCAAAGTGGAAAAGTTTCTCGAACAAAAGCGACAATGCAGCACACAGACGTCTAGTTTTCAAAGCATCATCATTGTACGTCGCAAACTCCAGATACAACGAGTAATCCAAATGTACGACGACAACATTATACTTTTCCGACGAGCGCTCGCGAGTCCTAAATCCCGCGGCGCGCGTAGGTAATGCGTACGGTCGCTGGGAGCCGGAAGGATAACACACGGGGTGGTCCGCGGCATTCGATCGATCCTGCCGCGCGCCGGCCGTAATTTCGATTCGTATTCATGCGGGGCCGATTGATCGAGCCTCTGATTGAAAGATTACCGGGCTTTAAAAACACCGTGAAATTTATGCTGTCCGCCGGCCGATGCGCACCTGCAAATGCGTGGCCCGGCCGCACACGCGGGACTGATCGATCAGCCGCTGGCCGCGACTTCGTATTCTAAAAACGTTGTTGCGTGCCTGTTCATGCTCTCCGGGATCGGGGGCGGTCGGGGGAGGGGAAAGGATGGCTAATGGATTGACTTTCAAAGCGGAACACGGCTCGTTCCTTGTATCCCTGTCGGGGGAAATGAACGATGGCGTTCGGAAAGACACGGTCCTCGTCATTTTATTATCGATCCCGCGGATTTTTCTGTGTAAAATGCGATCGGTATGTTCGGGGGACCTTCCGCGGGGTAATGGATTTCGGGGCGGCGAGACTAAACGTACACGAGTCGGATTCTGGGGTGAGCTTGTCGAATTCGTTTGGGGGAAACGGGGGCGACGGTGTTCGGGGCGACGTGGGTTTTGTGTGTGATAAATATTTGGGATGTTTGGTGAGATATTAATATTGGTATTAGAGGGTTCTTAGTCTATTGATGTCGAAGGAATAACGAAGTTCGATGTGTGCGTAGATAATTGAGTTGATCGGTGAGATTTTGATATTGGAATCGGTGAATTCTTAGTTTGTCGACAGAATAGCAAAGTTTGATGTGTACATAATAGATTGCTAATGTTTTAATATTGGTATTAGAGAATTCTTAGTTTATTGATGTCGAAGGAATAACGGAGTTCGATGGTGTGTACATAATTGATTGCCAAGGTTTTAATATTGGTATTAGAGAACTCTTTATCGATATCGACAGAATAACAGAGTTTGATGTATGTGAATGATAAATAATTCATTTGATGAGACAAGCCTTTAATATTAGAACTAGCGGAAGACTTTAACGTTAGAGCCATTGAATTTTTCTCTTATGGTTACTGAAAATATAAAACTCAGTGGATCTGGCACAGCGTCAACGTAGATATACGCTAAGTCATCAGAAACTCAGCGCAAACATAACCACACGCGATTCTACGTTCCGCTCTCTGACCAAACGTTTCAAAAGCAAAATCTACAAATGATACCCTTTTGCCGGACTCATCATTTCCGTCCCCAAACTTGCAGATGTTCCGCGTGACGTGGCTGCAGTGGTCGACGCTGCTGTTGACGCTGCTGGGTACGCGTCTGGTGTTCGTGGTCGCCCAATGTGGATCGTTCGCGCAGGACAGACTGGAAAAAGAGGATAAACAGGATAAGCTGGCGCTGTACAAAGTCACTTTAAGGACTTACTGGTCGAGGGCGCGATTTCCACGTCACTACCCCGAATGGAAGCCACCGGCGCAGTTCGGCAAGCTGATCGGTAAGTCTTTGAACCCTTTTTATTACGTCTGTGTCCTCCTCTTCCGAGGAAATCACTGAATTTCATCGCGAAACTTGTCGACGTATTTTCATCAATATCTCAATACCAAAAGATAATTAATTCCACGTGATTTCCTTCAGCACTAAGCTCGACTAATTATCATTCACGAAAAGTTCGAAGGAATGTTACATTTATCGTAAACGTACATTAACACTAAATCTACCGGCACTTTGTACACATGTTTAAAGCAGCCAGTCGAATAACTCATTTCGTAGGAATAGAAATAGAAAGAAAGATAATCGATAAACTGATCAACTAGACTGGAATCGGTATAAACTTGAATAAACGAAATAAAACGTAGAATTTTAAATCAAATTCCACCGGTACGTTTAGTGTTGATTTCGAAGGAGAAATATTGAAAACAGCAAACTAGCGCTTCGATCCACGTGCAGCGAGGAACATCGATTATTCTTCTGGAAATCCGCACGAGTTTCGCTCGTAACTATAGAGCGAGAGGTTACGAAACGAAGGAAGAAGAAGTTTGCCCCCCTTTCGCGAATGTGAAATTCGTGGCGACAACGATGGTCGGTAACTCGCAGGGAAATTCCGGCTGCGTGGTCTGATTCGTCTGATCAGCAGGGTCTTATTTCTGATTGCGAGCCGCGCGTCGTCGCGGGGTCACGCTCCGGGAGCGGCGTCAGCTCGCTCGCCGGAACACGCCATTTCCTCGGTTTGTTCTCTTCGACCTCCTTTCCCAGTCCGCGCGAGAAACGATAATTGGAGAAGTTGGGAATTATCGGACTGTCGACGCGACGCCAGGCGAGACTCGTGTCACCGATGATTGAGGTCTCTTCCGGTGCCGGAACGATATATATCGAATCCCTGGAACAGGGCCGCGGCAGACTTATTCACGACCGCCGCGGGGAGCCGTTTTCGACCGGGACACTTAGAGCTCGTTTAAATTTCATCGGGCTTGTCATAGATTATTTCACGGAGTGCGGAAGGTCTCCGTTAAAAGGTACTCCAGTTAGAAGCGAAAGAAGCTTTTTATCGAGGGCTTAGTAAATGGAACGGAAGTAGAGCGGAAGTGAAAAATCACTGATGTTTCTGTTATTTGTACATGGAACGATAGATTTGGAATTTTAGTCGGAAATATTAGATCTGCGGAACACGAAAAACAGATTGTTTTATCCGAAGCAACACTGAATTTTACATAAGTCTCAAAGAGAAACACTTTAGTAATTCAGTATATTCACTAGGTTAACCCTTAACCCTTTGCCGCATTACTTTCTCCTAATACTAAGCTCGAGTAACATTTCACTATTAACACTTACTATTAACATTTAAAGCAAAATGCATTTACTTTAAATATTATAAATCATAGTAGCGAAACAGTTTTATACTTTGATCCATGCGCAATGAACAACGTCGGCTTCTACAAAATTAAACGAAGAAACTATCACGAGTCTCGCTTATTATTCAACCAGAAGGGGTTAAAGGCTTCATACATCACATTGTCACTTAACTCAGCTTCAAGGACGAACGAAAAGTACCTCACGATGTCAACGATTCGGAAGAATAAACAACCCCCGAAACACGCGTAAAAATGGAAAATTCATCCGGGACGAGGTAAAAATCAGCGGCAACGGTTCGACTCTCAGCTCCATTCCCGATCGGTCCCATAAACAAGCGAAATATTTCAGACGGTAATGGCGGGGGGTGGGGGCTGTAGGGGAACAGGTGTCGCGGGTCTCTGACGGTCTATAAATTTCTCCTGCGCCTCGTAACTCTCCGCAGTTTCGCGCTCTCTCGAATCCTGGCTGCGGCTAGGAGCGCGCCTCTCGATGCCGGCGGATCGGGAGTCGAATAAATTCCGCGTGACGGTCCCGCGCGGATGGCAGTCGCAGCCGGTCGGCCGGCCGCACCTAACGTTACCGGCGGATCCGGGGAAAACGTCAAATTCGAATTAGAAAGGCACGCGTGTCTGGCCGAAATTGAATTTCGGTTTAAAGAGCGCGCTCTCCCGCATTCCCCGGGGCAAAATCAAGGGACGCGCGACGCACGATTCGGTCGGGGACGCTCGAAGGAAACAGGGGATCGTGGGAAAGGCGGGAAATGCGGGGAATGCGGATGCGCGCGGCATTTCCAGCCGGTCGACGGCATTTTGTTTTACGTTAACGCTGCCGGCCGGGCACGAGAATCCGTGAATCGTTAGCGAGCGACCACCCCCGACTCGCGGCCGACGTCGGATTCCACTGTGACGCTGGGAAAGCTTTAATCCCTTGAATTTCTACCCGGGCACCGTCGTTTGATAGCTCCGCGCGCGACAAATGAAGCGCGTTGATCCTGCCGCCCTGCGGTATCACGATCGATCCTCCCGGATTCGCTTTCGCTGGCTCCCGCGTTCCCATTTCGAACGTTCGATTGTTCGTGACTGTTGAACTTTACCCAGGAGTCTTTTGGGAGTTCGGTTCTTTCGCCAGAACTTTGCGAAATATTCGAAACTCTTAGTAGAGAAAGCTGAATAATATATTGGACTCCTAAGTGCTAGGGAAAGAGGGAACTGCGTATTTAGCTCTGGTTATTCAAATAATTAAACTGATTGCTAGATGCTTCTAGCAGCTACTCCGAAGTAGAATAGAAGCTCGAAGCTGATTCTCTGACGATGTTGCTCCGTTCGTCCGTTTCCCCCGTAATCCCTTATACGATAGCAATAGAAATCCTAAGACCACTCAAAAAGACTTCTCCGCCGCGCCACATTACCAAAATTCCGGCAGCGAATTCCGAGAGCCTCAAACGTTTCAATTCCCCGCACAAAGCTCGACAACGACGAGCAGTTTACCAGCAATTTCGTGTCCCGTCGCGCGAGCCGGATAACGTCTACCCTTAAAAGCGGTCTGATGGACGACACTGCGAAGTGGAACGCCCGGAGATAAACCGGTTCCCTCGACTTCCGCGGCCATTTCCATAACACCGTGAACTCGGGCGTGCGCGAATGACCCTGGACGCAATTAAAAAAGAAAAGAACCTACGAACAGAAAAAGGAGGAGCCCGGGAAAAGTTGAAAATGGGTCGCAGTTTCGCGAAGAACGGGATAGCCGCGAAGTGTAGGCGATAAACATCGAAGGGCGCGCGAGGGGTGGGAAGAACCGAAGAGATCCGAAGCGGCGGGGGTGGCAGGGTGGCTACGAAACGTAATCGAAAATCCTTTACGGCGATTCGTCGCGCGACGAGAGCCATTCTGGTGGGGTGAGAACTCGTTTCTCGTTCCTGGTTCCTCCTTCTCGCACCGGGTGTCCCGCATTCCGCAGGATCCGCGCTGGGACGAAGGCTTTCCCAGGATCTATCCGGCGTATACAGACGGGCGGGCACGTACGATCGCTAACGGCCGACTAATGGAATGGAATTCGCGTCCGGAACGAAGGTTCCATCTCACGACCTTCGTCCCCGCCGAAGCTTTTGTCCTCCCGCCGCACGGAGGAATCGTAAAATCGGCACCGACGTTCTCGCGCGTTGTTTTCCTTGCGCAATTCCTGCGAGCCCGCCGGACTTAATTCGATTCCTCCTCGTTTTTCTGAGCAATTCCCTTTTCGTTCGCACCCGCCCCATCCCCTAAGTTCCTGCACCCCGTTCCATCCGGTTCGATACTCTCTCGACGTCCTCCTCGCGCGAGTACCCGCTTTCCCTCATTTTTATTTCTCCTCTCGCGTCTCTCTCGCGTTGACCGTGCACTCGACCCCGTGCCTGCCTCGTTCCCGCTCTCCTCCGTCCTCCGGCGGCGGCGTAAGAGCGTTAGCGCGCCTCTAATGCTATCAGGAGTGCCCGCGCGGAAATATCGACGGTCACGTACGCTGTTTCCACGTATTTCCCTGCCGCGATACCGTCGCGGCGAGACAGAGGCGCGAGGAGGTCTCCGCAGTCGCCGAGGCTCCGCTCGGCCGCGGGTTTTCCGGGAACCCGGACGGCCGTGCCAGAAATACGGTCCGCCGCGCGGAATTAATGAAACGTCCGCGGGCTCGCGTTTTATTTCGGACGCGTCGCGCCGCGTCCCGCGAAAAAGTTCGGTCGATACGCGTCCCCGGTGTACTTGTTTTCCTTCTTTTTCCGCTCGCCGATACGTTCGGCGACTCGCGCCGTTTATAGAACCGGCCGGGCGTGTTTGTTTATCGATTCACTCGGGCAGTTTTGTTCCGCGGATAAATATCCAGAGGAAGCCTCCAGTCCGTTGTTAGACGAATCGATGAATAAATCAGCCGAATTGCAACTGGACTGCTACTCTCTATTCTTGGTTCTTGAATAATTGCGTATTGTTTTCGGTGGCTTCGCGTCGGGTTGACGACCTCCGAACTTTGAACGTTCAATTCCAAGTCGGCAGCTATCGGTCGATTTTTCGCGTTAGAAAGGAACAGCGCACGACAGTTTGTCAAACATCAAAGCTAACGAGAACCAGCGAACTCTTTTCTCCACTGTTTTCCCACGGCGTTTAAGAGTCCGATCCGAAATCTCCGAGGATCGAACAAGTGCTCGTCGAGCGTTCGGCTCTCCCATGGAAATCGCTTTTCCCGGGGCGTCGCGCGTGAAAGGGTTCATCGCATATTCACTCGAGCGTGTTGATGGTCGAAATGTGTTTGTCCGCGCTCGCGAGGCGGGGAAAGGCGGCGGCGGCGGCGACGCCGAAGACGAAGAAGACGAAGAGCAGCCGCGAGAAACGAGATCGGGGGAAGAAGAAGAGCCGGCCGCGGCGAGTTTTCTCTTCTGCGGACGTTCCAAGGGCCGCTTCTAATTATTCTTCTCTCGAGACACCCGCAGCGCGCGCGGTGTTCTCGTTATTTTTTTTATTTATAGCCGCGGAGCGACGGTTTCGAGCCGCGAGAGGCGGAAGGACAGAGAGACGGGGACGCCGGGAAACCGAGGCGACTCGCCCGAGAAAGAGACCGTGCGTAGAACGCCGGGAAAAGAGGCAGAGGGCGGGAGAGAGAGCGAAAGAGAGGCGAAGACGG